AAGTTAGCGTACACTTATTACAACAGAAGTTTTTCAGGTTAGAATACAAAGAAAGCAAAGTGGCTGAATTCATTTCTGAAATAGAAGAAATCCAAAGTAACTTGAAACAAATGGGTGAAGAAATTAGTGACAAGATGGTAATAACTAAAGTTTTAATGTCGCTGCCAGAACATTTAAGGCATTTTATTTCCGCTTGGGAGTCAACACCAAATCATAACCAAACTCTAACTGAACTTATGTCTCGATTGATGATAGAAGAAGAAAGAACTAAAAACAAAGAGCAGGTGACAGCTTTAAGTATGAGAAGTAAAAGTAGTCATGAACAGAAATCAATGAAATGTTTTCAATGTGATAAAATGGGGCATATAAAAAGAAACTGTCCGCAATTAAAACCAAACGAAGGCAGGAAAACGTGTTACTATTGTAGGAAAGATGGTCATGTTATGAAAGATTGCTGGTTTAAGAAGAAAAAAGACACAGAGGGTAATAAAAATGACAAAAAGCCATCAACGAATTCAACACAAGCATTTGTTGGAGTATCAAGTGTAACAAAATGCACAAATTTCAATGCTTTGGTTGGGCAGTCTCAGTTTATCAAAAACGAATGGTGGTTAGACAGTGGAGCCACTGATCACATGTGTTCCAATTTAGAAAAGTTTTTTGAATTGACCGAGTTAGAATATAACAGGCAAGTGAAAGTGGGAAATGGGTCACTATTGACAGTGAAAGGCATAGGTAAAGTAAAGGTAGAAGAATGGAATGGAAAAGAATGGCTTAAAACAGATTTAAATAACGAATTGTTTGTCCCAGATCTAGATGTGAATCTTTTTTCGTTGAGTAAAGCATTAGATAAAGGATTTGAAATGCATTCCAATAAAGAAAGGTGTGAATTTTTAGACAAAAATGGAATGATAAGGGCAGTAGCAAACAGAGAAGGGAGACTATTTAAGATGAATTTTAAAAATATTGAAATATTACAGTGTAACATAGCAGAAACTTTATCAGTATGGCACAGAAAGTTTGCTCATGTAAATTTTAATCAAGTTAAGAAGATTTTGAGAAAACATAATGTAAATTATAAAGAAAAAAATTATTTTTGTGAGGATTGCTTTAGCAGGGAAACAACACAGACTACCGTTCCCATCAAGTAAATCAAGGGCAAAGAAAACAGGCGAATTAATACATAGTGATCTGTGTGGTCCCTTTGAAGTGCCATTCTTAGGAGAGGCAAAATATTTTCTTATGTTGAAAGATGATTTTTCTGGCTACAGATTTGTTTATTTTATAAAGAATAAATCGGAAACAAAAGAAAAGATAGAGAGTTTTATTCAATTGGTGAAAAATCAAACGGGAAACAAAGTATTAACTTTACGTACTGATAACGGGTTAGAGTTTATAAACAAGGAACTGACAGCCATGACAGAACAAAAAGGAATACGCCATGAAAGGTCATGTATTTTTACTCCTGAACAGAATGGAAGAGCAGAAAGGGAGATGAGGACATTAGTGGAGGCAGCTAGAACATTATTACATAGTAAACATTTGAATAAAATGCTATGGGCCGAAGCTGTTAATTCAGCTGTTTTCATTTTAAACAGAATTGGCAGCTGTCCTCAAAAAGATCAAACTCCATATAAACTTTGGTACGGAAAAGAGTGTAAAATACATTTTTTTAAAGAATTTGGGCTAAGGGTATCTGTACATATACCTAAAGAAAAAAGATTAAAACTTGATCCAAAAAATAAAATTGGATTGTTTGTCGGTTATAGTGAGACTGTGAAAGGATATAGGATTTATTTTCCTAATAAAAATAGCGTAGAAATACACAGAGATGTGATTTTTATACCTGAAGAATCAATACTGAAGAATGAGGATAACACAGAAGAAAAAGAACAAATAGTTTCGTTAGACTTAGAGAGAGAAGAGAATGAACAAGAACAGGATAATTTAGAGGTGGCAGCTGAGATGAGAAATCATGTAGATAATATAAGCAACTTATCGGATGAAGATGATAATGATATAGAAGAAAATCGACAGATAGAAAGAAGTAGAAGGGAAACAAGAAGACCGATTTGGACAAATGATTACATAATGAATACAGATATGAGTTTCTTTACAGCTATTGAAGATCCGATTTCGTACGAAGAGGCAGTTTCGTGTACAAACGCTCAGTTCACATGTGTTTGTGCGTCGTGATTCGGTAAAAAAACCTCTCCAACCACCGTTCGATGGCCCGTATCGTGTAGTGAACCGTTCTGAAAAATATTTCACTGTGCACATTAACGGTAGTGACACCAACATTTCTCTAGATCGTCTCAAACCTGCATTCCTGTTGAATGATAATCCCATTTCGCACGATCACTCTTATGCGAAAATTGAAGTGCTACAATCAAACAATAAATGTGTACGATTTAAGTAACTAAACAATGTTAACTTTATACTTACCCAATGTTATTTTTACGATTTGCATATAACTTATTGTTGGCATGAAATGCAATAATAGTTATTTTTATATTGTTTGGTAACACTGTACTATACTGTGAGCGTTAGTAAGTAAGTTCTAAGTTAGATTTCTATGTTTTTATGTTTTGTGTTTCCTGGTTTTTTGCTTGTAGTTAATGTTAATAAATTACTCAATTACTTTATAAACAACACTTATTTTTGTAATTTCACCTTTTCGCACGTTTATACTTATCTTTGTACTGTTTCATTGTTTGCTACATATTATTTGTTTCGTGGGTTTTCCCACTGGAGGGGGAGTACTGTAGTGCAGGGTATGAAATGTCGAGCGCGAGCGACACCTAAGTTTACCCCACGTAAGTTTTTAAATTTTTTAAATTACCAAAATCGACATTACCGACATACTAGGCGACATACATTTTACTGAAACGACAACAGATGATGCGACGGCGGTTGCGATTATCGGAGGAATTCCCCAGTAGTTGTGGCGTTATTGAGCAATAGTGAGTAGTTTCACAACTTGTAATATTTTAAAATTTTTGTGAAAAGTACTTTTACCTATCCTGAAAGTAAGTAATATATTAAGTACTTCAATCATGCTTTACAATAAGTAAAGAAAGGATGTTTTCTGCCCAACACAGAAAAACCGTGATGTACAGTCTACACTATTACGGGGTCAAATTAATTTGAAATAGATTATACAGCTCCTGCAGGAGTTAAAGGTCAAGAAGCCGCTTTCCATTTTCCTGAAGTAACAGCGGTTTCAACGAAAGTGGCAGGTATTGTAATTTGTTGTTGTGAAACTTAAGTTCTAAAAAAAAATGTTTTGTAGAACTTCTTCTGGTAGAGGAATAGAAGCAGACGGAATTGCCCCATTAAAAGATGAAAAAGTACTGCATCCAGTGAAAACATATGACGGGAAAAGAAGAATTGTTTCAACTGCAGGTAGTTATGCAGATAACAGTTTCAAATATCCAAAACATATATAATTATTTGTTATAGAAAGTACACTCACAATGGACAATACAGAAGCTAGTATTTCTGCAGTTTCTGAATCGTTAGCACCCCCTGTAGAAGCAGGAAGCAGTACTAAATTAGGTAAAGAACAATTTCTTTGTTCATACAAATATACCTGTATTAGTATCTATATTTTAATTAATTGATGTTTGCTATTTACTCGTATATTGTATTAATTATATTTATTACTGCATTTATACTTTGTTATTAAATTTGTTAATTTTATTTTTGGTTTTTTTTTTCAATTTCCATTTAAAACAAAAAAAAATAAAATTTGGTGTAATTTTGAAATGCGCGCCTTTGGTTACGCTTCATAGTGTGATGTATAGATGGCAGTGAAATTCGAAGTTTTCTTTGCCAATACCATTTATATATATATTCCAAGTGTCGTCTACTAATGTGGGGTAAACTTAGATGTCACTACTATCGTCCAAATCTCGAGAGTTTTACATCTATTTACCTAGTCTAGGCTGTAGTGTATCATGTTATGTCTATGGTCATAGAACATCTAACTTCTTTGACGTTGGTTGTCGCGGGCTTTCAAATCTTCACTAGTCTATGGTCTTAGTCACTCTGGAGTCTTAAAACGTGGCGCGTAAAATATAATCGATATAGTCTACAACTAGTTGATCCGCCATTTAACAGCTATATTCTCTCGCTTGTTAATTGTTAAATTAGAATAAAGTTTGTAGTGTTCGTGTAAGATCATTTATTATTATTTCCTACAATTATGGAAACCTATCCCTTGCACGCGCACAAGGTCGTACCCCAACTAACCACAACTGATTTAACTCTTAACTATTATTTATCTCTATCTGTGGTTCAAACGATTGCGCTACTCTGTTTATCTACTAGCTCTACAAAAATCAAGATTTCCACCTGACAGTATATATTTTTCTTTAATCTATGACGACAGTTATTAGTTTTGTCTATGGTTACTAGCGTAAGTTATTAGGTTATTGATTTGTTCTCAAATGTAAAACATGAAAATATAAGTAACAAACCTACGGAATTAACATTAGTAGAAATTAAATAATATTGCTTTCTAACGAAATTTTATTTGAATCTTATGGTCTTTATTAAATTTACTTTTCGCAAATGGCTTCTACAAGTCAAACGGAATTGTTAACTACTAACATAAAAAAAGAGGAAGATTCACTTACCACAAAATTTTTCGATTCATGTCAAAATGAAGACATGGCTTTTGCCGAAATGGATCCCGATTATGTGTTGGTAAAACAAGAAGAGGATGATTCAACCTCAAGTAATTTAGATGAAAATTTTGTATCTGGTATGAATATGCTGTATGCTTATTCAGATAACGCCATTATAGAGAAGCCTTTTGAATGTAATATTTGCCAACGTAATTTCAGAAGAAGGGCTGATCGAGATAAACATATTGTTGTACATTCTAAAACTAAAGCCATTCATATATGTAATGTTTGCGGGAAAATTCTAAGACGTATTTCTACACTAAAAGATCATATGAAGACTCATTCATCAGATCTTTTCGAGTGCCAAGAATGTAAAGAAAAATTTCATCAAAATGTACAGTTAAGAAGACATATGAAAATACACATTCAAAAGCCTGTTTCATATGAATGCTACATATGTAATCGAGTCTACAAACAAAAAGATAGTTTACGTCATCATATGAAACTACATAACAGTAATAAAATTTTTCAGTGTAACATTTGTAATAAAAGTTTTCAACGTAAATCGGATGTTAAAGTACATCAAAATATTCATACTGCTGATCGGCCCTTTATGTGTAATATCTGTGGAAAATGTTTTAAACATAAAAGAAATTTAAAAGAGCATATTAAGCTTCATAATAGTCAGCCAACACATAGATGTACATTTTGTACCAAAGCATTTGTGAGGAAAAGAGAATTAATTACACATTTGAAGGTACATGTAATGGAGAGACCAAGACCATATTCATGTGATATTTGTCAAAAATCTTTCATGCATAAACAAACATACATGGGTCATAAAAAGGTTCATACAGGAGAAAGACCATTTAAATGTAATGTATGTGACAAATCATTTATTCACAAAAAGAACTTAAAATATCATCGAAACCTTCATACTGGTGAGTGGAAACACAAATGTAGTATTTGTAAAATCAGTTTTACATCAAGGGCAGATTTAAATGCACATATTAAAACACATACAGGACCAGGTGAAACTTACAAGTGTAGATACTGTGAAAAAATTTTTATTTATGAGCGCAATTTACAGAATCATGTAACTATCCATACTAATGAAAACACTTAAAAGTAGAAATTTTACATTATTAAAGTTTTGTAAATTCCATAGGTGACTATAAGAATGAAATAATCATAAATCAAATATATTGCATCTTTAGTCCATAGTTATATAAATTGTATTGGGGTGGTATTTTGAAAAAAATATTTTCCAATTGGCTTCAAATTTTTACTGCACACTCCTTTGCATACTATGTAGATGATGATACGTATTAAGTCTTTTGACGATTCAAATCGGTAAGTTAAAAAAAAATATTTTCTAGTTTCTTTGGAAGCTTAATATAGGAACATTTTAAAACCCTTATATTGGCTTGAAATATGCTGTTCCTTATCATAGAATTAAATGTTTGATGGGAGGAAACTCTTTTATATGTATATAAATTAATAAAGAATTGAATTAACTGTCGATTAATTGAAACATTGTTTATAGATAAAAGTACAATTATATTCTTGAACGTAAGGGGGAAGCCTTTGTTATGTGTATATAAATTAATAATGTATTAAATTAACTACTTATTAATTGAAACACTTTACAGATAAGGATAGAACTATGTTTCAATGTGGGAGCAAATCCTTTTTTGTATGTATATAAATTAATAAAGAATTTAATTACCGATTGATTGGAATATTGTTTATAGATAAGATCAAGCTACACGTATAACGTGTAAAATTCAATTGTTACTACACACGTTTAAAGTGTACTCGTCTAACGTGCGTGTGATCGGGGTTTTGAACTCATCCCACGGAGCTAAACTTTTCGTGCTTAAATATAGGGAATAAGCTTCGGAGGGTATTAACTACATGTTTTTTCGGGAAAACATTTTCTCTTTTGGTTAAGCCAAATGAAATTGATTTGTCTTGATTTCATGGGACCTTTGCCACGAGAAGGCGTAACCGATTTATTAGTTATTGTAGATGGTTTTTTAAAATTCATTAAATGTATTAAGAAGGGCCACCACCACCATTATTTTAAACAAGCTCATTAATGATTTTAGTAAATATGGGAAGGCCGCAGTGGTTCTATCGCACAAAAGAACGCAGTTTTGTTCAAACAAATGGCGTGGAAGTTTGGAAGGTGAAGGTTGTCGCGTTACATTTACCTCTTATTACCACCCTCAAGGTAACCCAACCGAAAGATATAATGGATAAGTCGGTCGATTGTTGCGGGCATATTGTCATGATAAGCATACTAAATGGGCCTATTGGTTAGATAAAATAGAGATTTTGCTGAATAATACCATTTATCAGAGTACGAGGTTCACTCCCATTGAATTGCATTTTGATAAAGAACATGAAAACCCAATCTTGAAAGATATAAATTTTCCCGTAGACCTCCAGTACAATCGTATATCTCGTCGCGAAATAGCTTATGAAACTCTTATCTCCAAAGCTGAAATAGGAAAAGGCGTTATGACTCAAAAGTGAAACTAGTAGTTTTTAAACCTGGAGAATTGGTTCTAATACGAACGAATCATTTGATTACGGAATTCATAAATTGTTTTTAATGTTTGATGGACCGTATAAGGTGTCCAAAGTTAAGGGTCCTAATTCATACGCGACTGAATCATTGAATGGGCAGATAAAAAATGTGTACTTTGGGGCGAATATCAAGAAATTTGTAAGCCCAATTAATGATATTATTCTTGGTTTTTGAAGAGTTTTGAGTAGTGTAAGATAAGCAATTCTGACACAGAGGACTAGATAACTATTTGACGTAACGTCATCGTCGACATGAGGCGACGCTAAAAACCGCAAGACTCCGTAGCTCTTGCGCAGGCGCGAAATAATTTTGAATCATGTCTATAATTTTGCTCTTGCCTCCTTTTTATTCGAATTCAAACAAACGATCTCAAACGTTCTGATCTGAGGAGTAGAAATAAACTGGGCAGTAATCTACTAATAATTGATAACGTAGGCAGAAAAATGATACTCATATACAATGTAAATGCATTCTTTATTAATATGAATGGAAAATAAAATAAAAAATAAAAAATTATTTCAACAAATTTATAATGCAAAATAAATACATAACAAACATGTTTAATTAATTATTAAATTTATTGTAATTATGGACAGGTTTCTATGAAACAAAGCTAAAACATCACAAAAAACGAAGAAACAATTCTCACTTTAAACTTTTTCGAAGGTTTTTATTAAAATACAAAGTACAACTGTTTCGATTAGATTAAGTCTTTCTGAAGAGTACATACAAAATGGTTTTGTACATTTGAATCCTAATGTACTCCTTTCTGCTTTCGTTAACTTTATCATCTAGAAAAATAAAAAAACTTTTAATCAAGGTTTCTCATTTAATGTTTAGAAAAACTCATGTTTGGGATTAGATTACATACGTACTTTATTTTTTCTTAGATAGGAAATACTCCTGTTTAGCCATTTTACGTTTTCTTAAATTTCTACTTTGTTTTTGAACTTTTTCTGTATGCTTTCCAAATTCCTTGAGTGCTACTTGAAAGGCTTCATCATCCAGTTGATTCATTGCAATGCGATACGTTTGCATTGCTATCTTCAATTGCGTTTCACGGTCTTGATGTACTTCTTTGTTATTTATATTTTTCTGATTTTGAAAATGATTAATATAATATAACAGATATAACGTAAAAACGTCTGCCTAATAATATAAAGAAATACATTAAATTGTTCGACACTATTTACACCAGCACCACTTATAAACTAAACACAAAAATAAGTAATTGTTTTAAGAAAGCAGAATAAATGCGCTTTTTTAACAATGATTATGAGTCTTTGTTTAATGCGTAGATTAAACACTGTTGCATGTGCACAATTCTGCAGATGAAGGAAATCCAAAAATGAATGAAATAAATCAGCATACACGATTAAACATGAATTGAATTGACGGTTAAAAATGTAGTTAGAGGTTAGAACGATTTAAAAATATGAAGAAGGGCAGCAAAACGATTCTCATAGACATTCTTCACAGGAGTCAATTTCGCGCCTGCGCAAAAGGTATGGAGTCTTGCGGTTTTTAGCGTGCGTCGCCTTTAAACATATAGTAAGGGTATTAAATGTCGAGCGCGAGCGACATCTAAGTTTACCCCACGTAAGTTTTTAAATTTTTTAAATTACCAAAATCGACATACTAGGCGACATACATTTTACTGAAACGACAACAGATGACGCGACGGCGGTTACGATTATTGGAAGAATTCCCCAGTAGTTGTGGCGTTATTGAGCAATAGTGAGTAGTTTCATAACTTGTAATATTTTAAAATTTTTGTGAGAAGTACTTTTACCTATCCTGAAAGTAAGTAATATATTAAGTACTTCAATCATGCTTTACAATAAGTAAAGAAAGGATGTTTTCTGTCCAACACAGAAAAACCGTGATGTACAGTCTACACAATTACGGGGTCAAATTAATTTGAAATGTTCTACCTAGATTATACAGTTCCTGCTGGAGTTAAAGGTCAAGATGCTGCTTTCCATTTTCCTGAAGTAACAGCGGTTCCAACGAAAGTGGCAGGTATTGTAATTTGTTGTTGTGAAACTTAAGTTCTAAAAAAAAATGTTTTGTAGAACTTCTTCTGGTAGAGGAATAGAAGCAGACGGAATTGTCCCATTAAAATATGAAAAAGTACTGCATCCAGTGAAAACATATGACGGGAAAAGAAGAATTGTTTTAACTGCAGGTAGTTATGCGGATAACAGTTTCAAATATCCAAAACATATATAATTATTTGTTATAGAAAGTACACTCACAATGGACAATACAGAAGCTAGTATTTCTGCAGTTTCTGAATCGTTAGCACCCCCTGTAGAAGCAGGAAGCAGTACTAAATTAGGTAAAGAACAATTTCTTTGTTCATACAAATATACCTGTATTAGTATCTATATTTTAATTAATTGATGTTTGCTATTTACTCGTATATTGTGCTAATTATATTTATTACTGCATTTATACTTTGTTATTAAATTTGTTAATTTTATTTTTGTTTTTTTTTTCAATTTCCATTTAAAACAAAAAAAA